CTCCTAGTAACATTAATGTTTAAAAGAGGAAAGAATATAAAACTTACAAATACAGTAATATCTGAAATAAAAGGAGGGATATTACCACAGATCCGACAGGTGTTAAAAATAAAGGAATATTGTGCACAACTTTATAGAAATAAATCCAACAATTACAAAGGAAATGAACAAAATCTGTACATATACATATAATATATAAATTATACTACCTAGAGCTATATAGATACAAAGAAAAAGAGAGAGTAAAGAAGTCAGGAATTTAACTCAGTGGCGCTGCACCTGCCTTGCAAGTACAAGGTCCTGAGTTCGATCCCCAGTACCTAAAAAGAGCTTTGGTTTTGGCCTGCATCTTGTTATCATAAAGCATCTTGGCCTATCTTCAGGTAAAAGTCCCAAATAAGTCATGATCTATATACGTTATAAGAAATAATTACAGTGTGTGGCAGAACTTCATGATCACAAAAGTGACAGCAAAGGGCCCTTAATCTGTTTTCTGTTCACTACATTGTTTTTTTGTAGTCAATAACTGAAACTTTAAGGCCATTTGGAATTGTTTGAGAGTAGCATTAGTGGTAATACATAGTGATATGTGTTTATAAGTTGAGACTTCAAAGCCAACAACTGCAAGGCATTTGAGAATGTCTAATTCCACCGATGCTTTTAAAAAGATGCACAATGCAGGTTGTTTTTGAGTGGTGGTAAAGGTGCTTTTATAAAACAAAAATATGATTGATGTATAACCCCAAAGATTTTGCAGTGGGAACATCAGTAAGATATGTAAAAGCCTGAATTGCTTCTTAATGTGCTCGTATATGTTACTCAGGAAATATTATCAAAATGTCATGATGCAACTAGAATCTTAGAAGGAATCTTCCTAAAGGATGGAAAAAGTCTCAGGACAACAAATAGTCCAGAAGACATTATGACTGATTCTCCCCAACCACTACCCCTACAAACCAGTGCAGTGCTAGGTGCATGGAATAGACTCAAACAATAGTAGTGACAATGAATGAATGATGCATCCAAACTGGAACCATTTATTTATAATCACACTGCCCAAAGTATTGTGGGGGTTGCAAAAGCAACACAAGACATCTGGCCTGAAAACCCTCAACTTCTAAGCAAGAACACTGGCAGACATGTGAAACCACCAAGAAAAATAGGACCTTTTAATAGCAGCCTGTCTTGTAGGATTCCCAGCCAGTCTCATTTCCCAGGAAGATTACATTGCATTTGTTAATCACTGAGTTCCCAGAGAGGTTCTTATCATCTTTTGAAAGACCTCTCTACCAATTTTCTTGGTTTCTAAGAAAGAATAATGAAGAGACCTGTATTAATAGTTCTAATGTCCCAGAGCCACAATTCCCATGAAACTATTGCTTTTTTCTGTCTAGATGTTATCGGTGCTTAGAGAAGGGGCAAAGGAATAGGAAGGAGGCGGCACAAGTTACTTGATCTTTTAAGATGTTGGTATGTCAGGGAAGTTGTGATAACTGTTTGTAACTAGTGAGTTCCTATCTTGCCAGACACAGAGCGTCAAGGATGAGAACATTTTCCAAAACAGCTTTTGCTTGTTCTGGTATCAAAAAATTTAGAAAGCTCAAGAAATACTTGTAAAGGAAAGGAAATAGACTTACAGAAAAATAGCCAAATTCCCAGACTTTATTTGGCAGGGGAAAAAGAGAGTGAAGCCAAGAAACCTTTTCCACACCCCCAATATGCCTTTTTTTAAACTTTAGTCTTAACACAATACTCCAGTTTTAGTGTTACCCAAATGTCCCAGACCTCATTCATCTATGACCAAAGAATAAGATTATATTTACCTTTAATGCCCAATCTTTTCTTACCTAATTGTCAGAAATTAGTCTTCTTCCCTATATCATCCCCCGGCTATTTTGAGATTCTATAATGCTATTTCTGTATGCTCAGAAATAGACTCTGACTTTCCTATCCCAGACTCACCCTCTTGGCACCTTGCTACTGCCTCTGTTACTGGCACCCTCACGGAACTGCCAACCCATAGGCCAATGTTGCCCCCAGCCAGGTGACTGGTAGTGAGCGCACACGCACACACATACACACACACACACACGCACACGCAGGCATGGCCTTGGTGTGGAGGACACACGTTGCTCTCATCTTTATCTCTCCTTCTAATACATGAGATATTTTCCTTTCTCATTACCAAACAAGATTTGAAATTAAGCTATGCCTTTTTGGTGGACCATATTAAAATATTAGAGGTAATGTCAGATATACAACACAGAGAGATTGGTTTTTAACCACCTCAAAGGCCCAGACTTGCCCAATAGTGCATTACCAGTCACCTTCTGCTTAGCCTTCCTGCACATGGCCAAGTAAAGTTTATCCCTTCTCCAAAACTGACCTCTTCTCAGGATGATTAATGGAGACATCTATTCCCTCTACCCACAATTTCAATAAATATTTGCTAACTGACTGCTATGTTCCAGGCACTCTAAAAGACACAGAAGATGTAGTGGGGACCCAAAAAGAGATGCCCTGTCCTAATGGAGTTTAAAGTCTAGAACTGGAAAGAAAAAGAAACTATACAAACAAATATTATTAGTTATAAAATGGCCTAATTTCTATGAAGCAAAAATTATAGGTGACATGAGAAAGTCTTATACAAGGAGATCATTTGGATTGGGAAAGATAAATAAGGCTATTATGAGAAATTGACATTTAAATTGGGACTGAAGCCTGAGTAGGAATGAGCCCTGTGAAGAGCTTCTTAGGCAGCAGAGACTGCCAATGTGAAAGGCCTGCCAGAGAAAGGGCTTGGGGAGACCAGAGTAGCTGAAGGGAAGAACGTGGTAGTAGAGAGGTGCAAGAGGAGGCTGAACAAGGAGGGAGAAGCCATCCTGTATAGGCATTGCAAGGCCATGGCAAAGACTGGGTTGTCTCAAGTATAACAGGCTGTTATTGAAGGGTTTTGAGCAGGGGAGAGAGTGGCATGATTTAGCGTGTATTTTAAGAAGACTTTGTCAGCCATACAGAAAGTAAAATGAAGAGGAACAAGTGGGCAGGGGAGGAGCTAGTACTGTAAGCAAGATGTGGTAGTTCAGACTATGGCATTGACAAAAGAGAAGCAGTCCATTTGTAGGCATGTTTGAAGTAGAAGCAACACAATTTGCTGATGGTGGATGTGGAGACCTGGAAGGAGATAGAAAAGTCATCTAAGTAGTAGAACAATGAGGCTTCTGATTTCTTACCTGGGCAGCTAGCTGGGTGTGTGATCTAATATTGGACACTCATGAGACAATCAGACAATAGTCAGTATATTTCTCAAAGTGTGAGTGATATGGCTTTAAATATCCCACTTGAGTAGCATCAGAAGCCCAGGGGTAGACGCAGACTGAACCCTTTTCAGCTTGTCTTTAAAATTTTCCAACCACCTGGCAGTGTAGCTGCAACTATCAGATCAGGCTTTACAGTAGGCTAATTTTTTCTTGGGGGGGGGGTACTGGGGATCAAACTCAGGACTTTGTGCTTGCCAGGTAGGTGGCAGAACAACTGAGCTAAATCCCCAGCCCAAAAGATTCCAATTCTTTTTTTTTACTTGGTTTCAGAAATCGAACTCGGGACCTTGTGCTTGCAAGGCAGGAGGCAGAACCACTGAGCTAAATCCCTGGCTCAGTAGGCTAATCTTTTCATTAGAATTTCTCCCCAGGCAGTTGCCAGGATAAACTGGTATTGTTCCCTTCATTGATTCAGGCATTCAGAGCCAGGAGCCAGGAACACTGTAAGTACTCAGCTTGTGTAGCTATTGCTCTTCACTGAGGCAGGTATTTTTGAGAGCTTAGCACTTCAAGACAGCCCCAGGCTAGGAGGTTGCTTTCCAGTGTAGAAAGCTTTTGTTGAGTCACACAGATTTGATTTCAAGTCTCTGCTCTCCTATTTAACCCCTCTGAGCCCAAGTTCTTCCACCTGTGACTTGGGGACAATAATACCCATGTTGAGTGATTATCATGAGGTAAAATCAGAAATCTTTGAGCAGTACCTTGTATATAGGAAGTGAAGTGTTCTTTTCCTACTCAAAAAGAAGCATCCCTAAAAAAAAAAAAAAGAAGAAGAAGCTTCCCTTTCTAATTTAAATACTATGTTTCTACCTTTCACTAGAGAAACCCGAGAGGGAGTAAGGCAACTTCAAATCCTTTTATAGGTTTATGAATGAGGTTTTGTTGATGAATAAGTTTTATTGGCACTCTCTTGGCTTTTTTGGCACAGCATGCAACTATTTAAAAGCTAACACAAAAGTGGACATCTTACACTCTAGAAAGAATGGCCTGCAAGGATTTCCTTTGGGCTCCAAACCGCTCACATTCCCCACTGCCAGTTGCACTTTTCCCCTTGCCATCTCGCACCTCCTCTTCCTTCCCCTGCTGTCACCTTGAGCAACCGGAGTAAGAAAACACATGCACCAGCCCACAGAAAACATTCTGGGTTGTCCTAGAAAGCGTTGATTCCTTAGGCTTTTATTTTCAACCTTGAATGCATGGTTTCATTTGGCACAACTGTGCACCTAGCAGTTTGCTCCAGACACCTCCTGTTCCCACTGCGTCCCTGTGGTGGCCTTCCCCTGGCTTCTTGGTACTTGGCTCCCTCTGGCTCACAGGAACTATTCACATCTTTGCCTGAGTTGATATGTGGCCCCTTGGCAGCAGTTGCATTTTAAGACTGATTTCCAGCACAGAATGAAAACTGTCCACGTTGTGGGGAAAGAAAACTTTCACAAGCAAGTGGGGTCCCTGCAGCAGGGTCCTTTCCCTCAGTCCTTGAAATTTCACTCATCCTATGCCATGGCTGACCCTGGATGGGTAGTGTAATGCAAAGACCTTCTCTCTGGTGACTTTCAGGAGACTATTGGGGTAATACATCAGTATCCATGGAAATAAGAACTGTACGCATCACTACCAACAGCATGCCATTTTTACTTAAAAATGCTCTACTAAGACTAACAGAGTATCTTTGGATTTCAGGGAACAGATTCGTCAAGGCCTAGAAGAACTCCAAAAAGTTCTACCAGGAGGAGACACTTACATGCATGAAGGATTTGAAAGGGTAATTTTAAGACAATTTTAAACTCCAAATATGAAGAGTGTTATTAAAATATCAACAAAGGATGGCTCATGTAATAAAGCACATCGATTAAGAGAACTGAACAACACACAACAGCAAGAGAGTATAATTTTTGTCCTTATAAACTTGTGCACTGTGTACATTGATAGCTGTATCCAAAGAACTAAAAGAAAGATTATTTTCCTCCTTTTGCTGACATTGATGGTTTATTAGCGATGATTGGATGGCACTCATGAGTCACACCACACACAAGTCCCCTCAATTCCCAAAATGACATTTGCTGGGTGGCAGAATCAATGGTTGAGACAGAATTCTGGTGACTTTAAGGGAAACAAGTGCAAGGCTCTGAGAAGCAAGACATCAATCCATGTTCACATTACATGTGAGATAACTTTACCTGAATGTCATTCATTGGGATCATTGAGTGAGGCCTGTGTGAATTACGTAAAGAACCAAGACTTTCCCTGGCTGCATATCCAATGCCAAACCACTACTCAATATGCTATTTGGAGTGGCAAACAGTGGTTAAATGTCTAATGCCTTGTTCTTGTGTTTTTCAGGCCAGTGAACAGATTTATTATGAAAACAGTCAAGGTAAGATGAGAGTATAAACTACCATTATGAAATGTTCAGTGTTTATCTCTGTTTCTGAGGTGCCTCAGTAATTTCATGATTCAAAATATGTGCATGATATTGTCAGTAATCTTTGGATACACACCTCATTGCAAAAAAATGCATGGAAAGATGACATGTTCCAAGTCAAATTCTACTGTTCTGTTAGTGCCGAGTTATAGTATAAAAGTATTTAAGATTCCATATGGGCACAAGCTGTAATTCCCAAGAATAGTTTTGCATGTTGAATTCATTAAATTAGTAAATACTTGGATTGATTACTGAAGTCTTGGAGTTTTGTGTCAAATCTAATTATCTTGTTCTCTGATTTCCTACTGTCTTTATTACTGTGAGTTGGATATGTTATTTAAATCGTTTAGTCTAAGCTTTCCTTCATTTAAATGAAAGAATACAAAAGACATACTTAGTAGAGTACCTAGTAATAGAAATAATAACTATTATTATTTCAGCTATTATTACCACAACTTTCATGGCTGCTACTTCTTTACCTCAAACAAATCTCTTAAAAGATTACATTTAATATCAATATGATAGTGGGAGAAGTAGGGATTTTCCTCCTTAGGCCTGTAGAAGTATCTACTTCCTGTTTGATTTTAAACTACACCAAGTAGAACAGACCCAATGTCAACACCAAAACTTGCTAAAATAAATCAGCTTTGAGCATTGTTACTAGAAGTCTAAGTACCACTGAAAGAATTGTAGTAGGTCTAGCCAACTGCTGTAATACGTTCAGTCACCTTGCAAATCATGATTACTATTAGTTTTTACCAAACTGTCTTCAAAGGATAGTGTTGGGATCAACTATAGAATGTGAGAAGGACCAAAAAAGTCTAGGTGGTGGGGTTTGCTCTCGCCTGGATGATAATCATATGGATTGCTGACAGAAAGTAATCACACTTGGTAAACTGGAGGCACCCCTGTCCATTGGTTCTGTGGCCATTTGGCCACATCTGATTCAACCATTTGTTGAGATAAGGCTAAGAAACGCAGAAGCCAAATCTCTTCCCCTTTAGTCTGTCTCTGTGGAAGCATTCTTCATGCTGGAGTTGCATCCAGGCCCCAAAGAGTTGATGATCCTCACAATATTGACTTTAGGTGGTTGAATTTATAGGACACAAAAATCCTAGGACTGAGAGAAAGTTTCCCGGGTAAGGCAGGAAGACTGAGTTGGTCTGTGTTCTCTTGAGCAGGATACCGGACAGCAAGTGTCATCATTGCTTTGACTGATGGGGAACTCCATGAAGATCTCTTTTTCTATTCAGAGAGGGAGGTAAGGAATGGTTTGGCCAGTGTCTAAACATGTACCTGGAGGTTTGGGGGTATAGCTCAGTGGTAGAAGATGTATTTAGTCTCCCTAAGATCTGAATTCGATCCCCAAAGCACCCCCACCCACCTCCAAAAAAGAAACAGGGAAATGGGGCTTCTCTCCAAAATGGGCTGCACTTTGTACTTGGTTAAAGTGATAGGCATTCTCTATAAAATGTTTGAATAGTGTTTCATATGTAAAAATAATCATAATGATTCATTTTTAAGTGACTTTTCATGTCTTACACGTAGTATGTGTTTTCCCTTTCAAAATTTGTGCATGTTGTTCTGTTTTGAAGGATAAAAATATATATACCGTATCTTTACTAAAGGCAATGTATTGCTTTAACAGCTTTTACATGTCATATATCACTTTTAAACAAAAATCACTGGTACCCTTTTCCCTTTATTTTCCATCCTATTCTCTACTAAAACAAGAAAAGGGGAAAGAATTGCTTGAAATACATTAAGAGTCAATCTTGTCAGAATGTCCTAATTTTTGAGATTCTCACTCTAAGTGCCAAAATTGAGTAGCAGTTGGTTGTTAATTATAATCTCTTCTGTATTTCTTCTTTCCTCTTTTATGTTCTTAAAAAATACTTCTGAATACAAGTAAAAGAATTCTATAAGTAAAGCCCCTAGTTTGTGTAATTGGACTTAGAAAAAGAAGTTTTCTCAAGAACTGCAAGTTATGTTATACTTAGGAAATCCTTTCCATTTAGATTTAAGCTATATGTACCATTGGGCTAAGGAACCAAGCTAACCATGGGAATGTATTGAAGCTTTGTTGGTGACACAGGTTCATTCAGGCTAAAGTAAAAAGAAATATAGGAGGGGAAAAGACAGGCAGAGAGGGAGGGAGGTGTTGAGCTCTGGAGGAAGTTAATCACAGTATTACACTTACCTCGAGCTCTTGACTGCTGTGTTTGCTAGACACTAGAGACACAGAGGTGAGTGACACACAGTTGGTGCCCTTGTGGGTCTTACCATGAAATATATTCTGCTTTCATTATTCCTTCCTTCTCTCACTAGTACAGAGGATTCAGCACAGGGAAACACACAAATCATATGACACACTGCCTTGAGCATGTGGGAAATAATACATTTCTATATTCTAAGGTTGAAACTATGTGATGCTAATGCCAAATAGCTTATTTGTGTGATAAATAATGGTCAAATAAAGTAAAAATCCTAATAAGGAAAGAACTGCAAGTAAAGGAAATGATGAATGTTGGTGGTTTAAAATAAGGATCAGTATAAAGGAATTTTAGGTATGGTCCATACAGACTGAGAAAAATATTCAGAATGCCAACTCTAGTAAAGAAAGCTTTTTGAAAAAAGAAAGATAAACTGGAGATATAAAGAAATTGAATCTTTCCATTCTTCATAATTCTGTAGGAAGCCTGGCTACAGAAGTGTCATAGAGTTGTTGCAGATAAAACTGGTGTTAGACTGACTCTAAAAGTTTGATTTATCCTGAAAGCAGCAGGAAATATTTCCATCACGAAGATTTATTGTAATTTGTCTTAGCCTGCACTTTCCCTTTACTTTCCTCACCTTTCAAACCCCTTTATCAAGACTCTACTTCACTGGAGCTTTCTCAGTACTTCCTACTGGACTAATCACTCTCCTCCCAGATTATGTTAAAGTGTGATGTTAACTGGGGTATGAGTCTCTTAGGAATGGGGCTTGCTTTCTCTGGCATGGTACCTGGCATATGGTTGGTGCTCAAGAACCTGATTGTTAAAGTTAGTCTGGAAAACTCAACAAGAGTGCATTTGCCACTACCTCTCTCTAATGTTTTTTGTTTCTTTGACCCAGGCCAACAGATCCCGAGATCTCGGTGCAATCGTTTACTGTGTTGGTGTGAAAGACTTCAATGAAACACAGGTATGATGGTGAATTTCCTCAGGTTTGGGGACTGTTGGCCTCATGAATAATGGAAAACCTGTGCATTCCATAGAGATGATGCATCAGCAAGATAAATATCCTTTAGATAGGCTATTTTTCCTGAAATGTTATACAGGAAGAAATTATTGGTGGACAGACCTTCCAAACAGCATCTTTCTCAAAGTAAATTGACAAGATCTGAATTATCTTTAACTTATTTTCTTTTCATTTAATTTGACAAGTATATTTTTATTTAAATGATACATATTACGTTTGCCTATTAAAAGTCCAACACATTTTCAATACAAAATATGGAAATAATTGGACAAGTGGGGCAAAAATGTACACAAATACATATAAGCCAATTTTGAAAAACTGCTAACAACCTAAATAAATGTTCCTCAATGTAGTTCATAATTTCTTTTTGTTATAATGGCATAGGCAAATGCTCATGATATATTATTGAATGAATAAAATAGAGTAGTAAAGCAGTGAAAAGAGTATTTGCCCCCTTAGACTAAATATGCATATATTTGCATTGAAAAAGTATTAAAACTATATTTTGAATTGTTAATAAAGACACGTAGAGGGAAGGATTATGAATGACTTCTTTTTATTTTAACTTTCTTGGATTTTCTTAAGTTTTAACAATGAGTATATGTTATTTTTGCAGTCAGTAAAAACAAAAAATGGTATTCCATATACACTGGCACTGACTGACTGTGGCAATCACAGAACTACACAAAGATTTTTGGGTGGAAAACTTGTAGATCAGCTTCTCCTTGATCCCTTTTCTTTATGCATGCTTTGGGTGAATGGCTGGGGTCTCTATTCATTGACATTGCCCAACATCAAAGCCTGAATTTATTTTTTAAATTTCTCTGAAAGGAAACTTGAGTCTATTTCATTCAAATAAAGTTGCCAACAGGAATTTGGGTGAATGGGAGAAAAACAAGCCAATGGCTTGTCCCCAAATCCATAAATATACCAACCCAGGCCAAATATTCATCCAGCTGGGTAATCTTACCTCTGCCTCCAAGGAGAAAAGTATTAAAACAAATGTAAAAGCTGGAGCTGCCCCTTGGGCCTGCTCCAAGGGAGCCACTGGTAAGATCGTTACAGCTGAAGACCCTTAGGGGAGGCCCTGAGCCCAGTGAACGCCTCAAGGTCCTCTGGGCTCTAAATGAAAGTGGGAAGCGCAGACGAAGTCGCTTTTTCCTCCTTCACATCCTCACCTGACGTATCTCATGTGTGTTTGTGTTTGCGCATTTGCAGCTGGCCCGGATTGCAGACAGTAAGGATCATGTGTTCCCTGTGAACGACGGCTTCCAGGCTCTGCAAGGCATCATCCACTCTGTGAGTAGGGCACATCCTCCAAGGGGGATGGCAGATACTTTCTGTCCCCCATCCGCAATTAATGCCCCCATTCCCTCTCACTGAGGCTGGTGTTTTTATGCCTCAGAGAACATTCCTTTTTGTGTCTGCTGCATACTCTGTCTCCTTCCAGCCTTTCCTGCTGTTTCTCTTCTCATACTCCTGTGCCAGCTCTTCCCAGCAATGGAAAGTTAAAAGCTGAAAGGGACCCTGAGTGGTCAGTGAGCCAAACTTCAGGCACCCTCTCAGTTCTCATACTGGGCAGACTGGTGGCTGGTCATTTGCATTTGACCAACCTCAGCTTTCCTGGGTGTGACTGCAGGCAAGCTGCCTTTGTATCATTAGCAGGCTGAACCTGTGTTACCTGGCCAGAAGAGGCAACTTAGACCCCCTGATATCACCTGTATTTTTTTTTTTGAGGATTACAGTAATTATTGGTGAACATACCTGCTATCCTTCCAGGCACATAATAGCTACTCAAGGCACATGAATCACTTTCTTTTCCACTTCCCATGCTCATCATGTGACGGACATTAATATCAGCTTCCCCTGATCCTCTAAATTTTCTTGAATATGCACAAAAAAAATCACCTGAGAATAATTGTAATACCAATTCTTAGGTCCTATTCCCAGAAGATTCCATTGCAATCAATTGGAGTTGAATCCAAGGAATGTGCTTGTTTTGAATCTACATTTTTGAATAAATAAGTGGACCAGGTATACTTTTAGCAGATTGATATATGTGACTATAAGTTTTGAAAATTGTGAAAATAATCCTGCATCAGGTAGGAAATTCCTATCTTAAATATACACAAATGACATTTGTTTTATTCCAAATGTATTTGTTGGCAAGGACCAAAAACCCACTTAAACTACCTTGACCAAAAAGTAGGAATTATTGAAAGGGTAGAGAGGCATCAGACTCAGGATGGGTCCATGGGTGAGGGAACCCAGCTTTAGATTTCTGGGGTCACTGTGAGGCACACATGATAATGTAAGCAATACAAACTACAATACCATATAAAACAACAACCCAAGAATGTGAAACATGACTAAGCAGGATTTGGGGCTGACATTGAATCTTCCAGAAGCTCAGAGGTGGATTCTTCTAGGTAGGAGCCTTCATGAGAGTGTTGAAGAGATTAGAGTCACTGAAAGATCAGGGGATTGGGGTGGGTGTTGCCAGCATAGAGACGGCACAACCTTGGCCCCCTTCTCAGAGCACATTCACGTTATGGTAATGATAACATCTGACCGATAGGAGAGTTTCAGGAGTAATGGAAAACAAGCTTGGACATTGGACTGGAACAAATTTGCAAGATCTTTGAAAGGGTTTTGATTCCAATTTTTAGGCAGTGGGTGGTATCACTGAAGCTTTTTTTTTTTGGTACCGGGGATTGAACTCATGACCTCGGGCTTATGAGGCAGGCGCGGTGTCACTGGGCTAAATCCCCGGCCCATCATTGAAGCATTTTTTAATTTTTACTTTTAAATTATCATGCAATAAATGTACTTCTTACTGGAACACAGTCTGAGGTTTCAATACATGTATATGGTGTGTACTGATCAAATCAGGGTAATTAATGTTTCCAGCACTGTATCATTTCTTCATGTTTGGAGCCTTTAATCTCCTCTCTCATCTCTTCATAAAATAACTGAAACATTTTTAACACATAACTGTTGATATTTAAGAAAAGAGTTATTGACTGTCTCTGCATTACATAGAAGGAAGACACCAGAGACAGTAGCCCAATCAGGAGGCTGTGACAGTAGACCTGCCTTTCAGATAACTGGATTATAAACAAGGACAAATCTTTTATCTGTTCAAAGGTTCTTAATGAGCCATGTGACTAACATCATTCAAGAGTTGGTTCCTACACAAATAATTAGAATGTTTTTATCTGTGTAAAGCAGTGGGTGTCATTGAATATTTTAGCCCTAACAACTCACCCAACTTCAACATGAGCCTGAGTGTTTGTAAAGCTCCCCTCATGCTCAAATGGAAATAACTCCAAGGATAAGTTAGAAGTTTTAGTGCAACTGTGTACAAAAAAGGAAGAAAAATAATTTGAGACATCAGTCTCCGGACTTTTAGCTGAATGATAACATTCTTATGAGCTTTTATCTGGAATTTATACTAGTGGTTTTGATCCTGCCAATACTCAAAACCCATGTTTATGGCAGTTGTTAATTTGTTTGCTTGGACAGAGAAACAAAGGAAAGCATAGCAGAGTTCATCTCTTAAATCAGACAGAAATAATTATGGTCTATGAGTTGGCTATTTTTAAGAAGTAGGTTTATTTCCCCTTTAAGATATTAAAAAGAAAGCCCTCATTTTTCCTCCATCTGAAGAATCTGTTCTAGCTTGATCCCATGGATACTGTTTTGTTATTTTCTCATAATAAAATAGGACTGGCTTAATTATCCAAAGTTAAGATTGCCAAGCAGCTTCTAATAAACTCACATGGCTCATAAAGTTTTCTGCCCATAAAGACTGTATTTTCAAACCTGAAATCAAGATACAGGGGCTAATACTTATTCATTGATCAAATATTCATTGAAAAACCTTGCATGCCAGGTTCTGACCACTCAGTTATAAGTGAATTGGGTGCAGGCCCCATCCAAGTAGACTTTACAGTCTAGTAGGAAAGACACAGGAAATATATAATTTAAATTGTGGTGAATGGTATAAAGGAAATAGCATATGCCAGAGATTAAGAGTAAATGGGTTGACAGAGAACCCAGGCTCCTGTGAAGAGACAACATAAAGGATGAAAAGGAACAGTCCACTGGAAGAGCAGGGATAGGATGTTCTTGCAAAGCATGACCCTAAAATGGTGACTAGGAGAATGAACAAGAAGTGTTCAAGGTGGAAAACTGCAGAGACAAAGAAGCAGGCAGATTTGAAGGCCACAGTATTTCCTATAAGGGCAGTGGGATACAATAGCCAGATGCAAAGTCTGACTATAAAGAAATCTTACAATCATGGCTCAGGAAATCTTATCCATAACCCCTGGGGATGATGAATAAACAAACACTCGGAATCAGTGGTACTGAGGTCTGTGACTGTGTGAAGAAGAAAAATCCTGATTATTAAGCATCTTTCCACTAAGCATTTTACCTCACAACCTCTCTCTGAAGAGGGATTTATTAACCCCATTTCACAAGAGAGGAAACTGAGTTACAAAGGGTTGATCGAGTGGAGAATTTGAACTCAGGTCTGACTCCAGAGTCTTACTCTTTCCCTGATGCTTGGATGTGAGGGTTTCCCTGATGCTAGGATTAGCAGGTGCTGATTACAGGGATGGTCATCCAGGCTGATGAACTCAAACCCCAATTCTCTGCTCCCTTAATCTGATGCATCTTTTTGTCGTTTCACTATTCTTTAATCCTCTCACTTTTAAGGAAGAAGTACTTATATGTCAAATTTATATAGTGAGTTATTTTTTATAGTGTTCTCACTTATTTTCCATTTTCTCTTCTGTGGAAGACAGGAAAAGGCAGAAGGAAATCAGAGTTGTAGAGAACCCATTTTGAGACCATAAACATATTTTCTTTACCCCACATAATATTATTATATTTAAAAAGCATATATGAGGGCTGAGGATTTAGCTCAGTGGTTCCGCCGCCTGCCTCGCAAGCGCAAGGTCCCAAGTTCGATTCCTGGTACAAAAAAACCACAAAAACAAAACCATACATGAACTGTGACTGTAGTTCAGTGATAGAATGCTCACCTAGCATGCACGAGGCCCTGGGTTCAATCCATAGCACATTAAATAAACAAACAAACCATACATTGCCCTTGAGTAAAGATTCTCATTCCCATTTTAAAGGTGAATAAACCAAAGCCCAGATAACCTGTCCAAGAGCACCCACCTCAAAGACAGAAGCAGAGTAGGAACTAGGCCCTACTCTAGAGCCCCTTCTTTCTCCTACCTGTTTCCTAGAAAGGTTCAAATAGTGCCCATGTCTTACCACGTGCCAGGCACTGTACAAATCATTTTAGATAATCATGTCATCGCATGGTCACAAGCACCATTTGATGTAGACATGCTTACCTTTTCTATAAAGCAGATACTATGAAGTCATACAGTTCAATGAGCAGTGATCCAGAATAGACCAGGTCTGTCTCTAATGGTGGGAATGACCACCAAACTCTACTGAATAATGTGAGTAGGAGAGGAAGTAGCTCCACTTCAGAGAGGAAGACACAGCGCACCAAAACTGTGAAGTGGCTTGACATAGTTCCCATAGTTACAGCCCAAGCAAAATCAAGATCAGAATCTGTGTCCTGGTCTGAGTGCACAGCGAGTGGCAGGCGAGTTTTCTGCCTTTTACAGCTGGCTGGAAAGTACCTCCAGAAATACAACCACTGTCAATGGATGAAGTCTCATCATCATGAGAAGGTGACAATTTGACAAGTAGACTTTGCAGACATTCAGGCCAGATGTTTCCCCTAAGCAATTATTTCTATCTGGTGGATTAAAATGTCCTGATGGAACAGAAATTCCCTTAGCTTGAATGGGCTCTTACAAAGATTGCAGAGGGCCATATTCAGACCAAAAGGAACTTCTTCCTCAACACACTTGTACGAGAGCCTACCTTTGAAGTTCATGACAGTATTTCTACTTGCTTCCTCAGAATACAGCAATAAAATTATGTGCCCTTTAAACCAGTAAAACTGTGGAGGAAGAAACTATTCATTTGCCTTCTCTTACTGCAGCTTCTTTGGGGAATTTCCACTGACCACAACTGGTGAATTTAGCACCAACCCTCAAGCGAATATAAGAAGCAAGGCTCGTGGGTCTTTGTTTTTGCCTTTTCAAAAGTGCTACAGGCACAAAAATGGGACCCTGCATGAACTGGAGTTCAGGTAACACTGAAATAGGTTGGCAGCTTTGAATCCTGACACTTGACCCTGTCACCACAATGCCTCTTTCTGCCAGCTGTCCGAACTTCATTCCAGTTGAGGATAGTACCTA